TAAGAAAAGTCACATAGACAAGGAGCATGGCTGTATAGTTGATGTGACTTTCTCTCCCTAATTTGTTTTATTTTATTTTTAATGGAAGTTTCCTATTGTAGGAACAGGTACAGTATCTAAAATCCTCATAAGACTATTTAGAATTTACCAGGAGTGTGGTATTTCAGTGATATTTTCTTTCATCAAAGGCACCTCAACCCACATGTTAACAGTAATGTAGCACACACAGCAGGCTTGTTACAATTGAAGGTCCTTTCCCAGTTAGAATTCACTTATGTTGTGGGGGAATGGGTGTAAGAGCAAAGAGATGGCTCTGGAGTTCACTTAAAACTGAATTCCAGCACTTTGGCTGACAGCATTAACAACTCGGTTAGGAATCTGAAACACTTGTTCGAGTGTGCAGCACCAAAAGAGAAGTGAAAGAGGATATGAGCAGAATGTGTGTTCTGGAGAAAACACAAGAAAATACATGTAGAGCATTTCTTGTCCTACACAGACAAACAAACAGTCTGTTTTCACTAGGAAAAAAGCTTTTTTTAAATTTGACAGGAACTCAAGATCCAAGTTTGCTTTTTCTGTTCCAGCTTTGATAGAATCTCCAGATCAAACTCATTAGTGTTGGTTAAATCCAGGTTTGCTGACAGAAACGTGTGAGACCGCAAACAAAATCAGTATTAGGCTTCAAGAGAGGATGTGCCTCTTTAATTGAAAAAGGCAGAGCAATCATTCATTTATTTAACCCAGACATGATTATAATCTGAAAACCTTGAAATCCTCTTACACAACTGTTTTGGCAAGCCTCTCTGTGTTCCAACAAATATTAAACTGTGCTTGCCATTTGTCTAAGGAATCTTGCATTAATAAACATGAAGAAGAACACTTTTACCTCCCACACTCAATGACAGAAGAAAACAAAGACCAGCTGTATTCATCAATGGATCCTTGTTCTGTGCATAAAGGCTAATTACATTTTACTTCAAGCCTACACATGGAAAACTTTACTGCTGCCATCTTGTCAAATTCAGCTTCTGATATTCCAGCTGCCACACTGCAATGACTGTACATCAAACTTCTTTTTGTCATTAACACCTTCAGTGCCCTAGACATGAGACATTTGTCCATTAAAAGGGCCCAGGAGAGGGGTGCTCAGATGACAAGCCTCCCAGAAGAAGAATATTAAGTGGTCTACCTGCTCATTAGTAAGAAGGGGAAATCTTTATGCAACACATGACAAAAGGGGCTAATACTATTAAAGATTTTAATTTCACAAACTGATCTCATTCTAAGCTGCACTGCTAGCAAATGGTCAAGAACACGGTTTGGGTTGCACTTAGCTTTGCACATACCACATTGTACTACAAAATTTAGAAAACCACCGAAAGATAAAACAAGCAATTTTTACACATTAAATTTCAGCTTCATAATGATTCTAAACAGTTGCTGTAGAAAAATCCAAGCCTGTTATGCTGAGATACCTAAAGTTTTAACTTATCCTGCTGTGCTTTTCTTTCTTTTTTTTTATAATATGCAGATACCTTTGACATTTCAAACAATTACCAGTGATCTCTGCATTCCACAATTGAAAGTCATACAACCAGTATTAACTTAAACCACCGAGCTATCCCTTTTTAGGCCAAAATAATTTTAAATATTTAATTCCCCTTTCACCCTTTTTGCTGTTTGTTTACTTTTCCAGTTTCTCTCAACTTGGACAATGAAAATACACTACCTAGTTTAACCTTCATTTATACTCAGTTCCCCTTTCATGTTTTCATGGATTTTCAGGTTGCAAAGTTTGGGTTGCAAACACTGAAGGAGATTGTTTTACAAAACTATTTACACAGGAAATAAAAAACAATCATAAGAACATTTCTGTTGATGTCAGATTAAACTAAGGTTTTAGAAAAGCAAACTTATATAGAGGACAAAATACATGCCAGAATGTCCATTACAGGATTCAGCTATATGACTACTATATTCTTGACTCAGGCTGCAAAATCATTGCATAACAGAACATAATGAAAATATTATCTGATGTGCTATTTATTGCTTCTACTTAATTGTATATATAACCAGCAAGGATCATAGGCGAGACCAACTCCAAATATTCTATATTTATAAAAATCTCAGAAGGAGCAAAATACACCAGATAGTCTATCTAATAGTTTAGAGTAAAATTTTTGCCCACCTTAAGATAATTACAGTGGAAGGAAATCCCACTTTTTGAAAATAAATCCACCATTCTGCCAGTGAAATATTTATATTAAAAAACACAAGAATTTACATGTTTATGTTTGTACAGCACCTAATACATGTGTCCTCATCCATGACTGAGGATCGTAGAATCCACTCTAACAGAAATTTTTAACAACAGAGCTAGTATCAATGATACCAGCCCATAGAAAAGGATATGCAAAATCTATGTTAATTTCTAGCCCCATTAGAGAAACAGGTTTCAGAGTAGCAGCCGTGTTAGATTGGGAGTGGGTGTGTCATTACACAAAGCAAAACTATTTCCCCATGTTTATTTCCCGGCCCTCCCCGCCCTGTTCCTCACACGTTCTTGTCAACTGCTGGAAATGACCCACCTTGATTATCACTACAAAAGGTTTTTCCCCACCGCTCTCCTGCTGGTAACAGCTCACCTTACCTGATCACTCTCCTTACAGTGTGCATGGTAACACCCATTGTTTCATGTTCTCTATGTATATAAATCTCCCCACTGTATTTTCCACTGCATGCATCCGATGAAGTGAGCTGTAGCTCACGAAAGCTTATGCTCAAATATATCTGTTAGTCTCTAAGGTGCCACAAGTACTCCTTTTCTTTTTATTAGAGAAACAGTTATCAGTGTGTATCAGTTGGAAAAGAATGCAACCAGTAAGAAAATAAAATAGACCCAAGTTCTGAATAAGGCATTTCAAACAACTAAAATATGCAAATTAGCAAAAATTTAATTAATAGAGTCCATATAAGAAGGGGATAAAAATTGTTTCTATAGTAAACACTGAACCTTAACAATTAAGGACCCAGTCACAAGTTTCAAGCACTGTAGCTCCCAAGGATCTCAATGGGGATTAAGGATCCCCAGAATTTGCAAGATTAGTCTCTAAAGATCTAACTTCGATGCAGATTTGGACACAACTGAAGAATGGATGCCAGCAGGCCTCTACTACAGACTGATCTCTACCCACCAACATCTTATGGGCAAAACCTTGATCACCACATTCCTCTTATTACTAAGGACTAGAGATTATGGCAATATGCTATGGCTCAGTGTAAGGGGTAATGTTTTGTTGCCCTGGAGAAGCACAGGAGGCAGACTGTGACTTGGGGAGTCAATCTTCTTCATGGTCTCCCTACTGCTCCACGGAGGGAATAAACTGTCCAAAGTTACATGAGCGGAAAGTGATCAGGAACAGTCAGCATGGATTCACCAAGGGAAGGTCATGCCTGACTAATCTAATCGCCTTCTATGATGAGATTACTGGTTCTGTGGATGAAGGGAAAGCAGTGGATGTATTGTTTCTTGACTTTAGCAAAGCTTTTGACACGGTCTCCCACAGTATTCTTGTCAGCAAGTTAAAGAAGTATGGGCTGGATGAATGCACTATAAAGTGGGTAGAAAGTTGGCTAGATTGTCGGGCTCAACGGGTAGTGATCAATGGCTCCATGTCTAGTTGGCAGCCGGTGTCAAGTGGAGTGCCCCAGGGGTCGGTCCTGGGGTCGGTTTTGTTCAATATCTTCATAAATGATCTGGAGGATGGTGTGGATTGCACTCTCAGCAAATTTGCGGCTGATACTAAACTGGGAGGAGTGGTAGATACGCTGGAGGGCAGGGATAGGATACAGAGGGACCTAGACAAATTGGAGGATTGGGCCAAAAGAAATCTGATGAGGTTCAACAAGGATAAGTGCAGGGTCTTGCACTTAGGACGGAAGAACCCAATGCACAACTACAGACCAGGGACCGAATGGCTAGGCAGCAGTTCTGCAGAAAAGGACCTAGGGGTGACAGTGGACGAGAAGCTGGATATGAGTCAGCAGTGTGCCCTTGTTGCCAAGAAGGCCAATGGCATTTTGGGATGTATAAGTAGGGGCATAGCGAGCAGATCGAGGGACGTGATTGTCCCCCTCTATTCGACATTGGTGAGGCCTCATCTGGAGTACTGTGTCCAGTTTTGGGCCCCACACTACAAGAAGGATGTGGAGAAATTGGAGAGAGTCCAGCGAAGGGCACCAAAAATGATTAGGGGTCTGGAACACATGACTTATGAGGAGAGGCTGAGGGAACTGGGATTGTTTAGTCTGCAGAAGAGAAGAATGAGGGGGGATTTGATAGCTGCTTTCAACTACCTGAGAGGTGGTTCCAGAGAGGATGGTTCTAGACTATTCTCAGTGGTAGAAGGGGACAGGACAAGGAGTAATGGTCTCAAGTTGCAGTGGGGGAGGTTTAGGTTGGATATTAGGAAAAACTTTGTCACTAGGAGGGTGGTGAAACACTGGAATGCGTTACCTAGGGAGGTGGTAGAATCTCCTTCCTTAGAAGTTTTTAAGGTCAGGCATGACAAGCCCTGGCTGGGATGATTTAATTGGGGATTGGTCCTGCTTTGAGCAGGGGGTTGGACTAGATGACCTCCTGAGGTCCCTTCCAACCCTGATATTCTATGATTCTATGAAGTCCTTATGCAACACAGTATATGTTCCTCTAGCACGCTGGTTCGCTAGTTGGGACAGAACCAAGGCTCCACCCACTCTCCGCCCTGTTGCACCACCCTCCTACCTTGCCCAGCCAAGACAGGAGAAGAACTAGCGACTCTGCGGAAAACACACTAGTGTAATCAGTCTCTATACAGGATATTCAATTATGCCAATGTTTTCCTACTTATTTCTACTCCAAAACCACCTCCATCTCACCCTTCTTTCCAGTTATAATGTGCAAAATTAGGAAGGTGGGGTACTAAAGGAAGATATGTAAGAAGAAAATGGTGAAATCTTACTTTGCAGTAGTTTCTTCATCATATTTTGTTTTCAGGTCAAATAATTCTGTCCGAGTTTTTTCCAAGGCTAGAAGTCATAAAACATTGAAACGTTACTGGTACTGTAATAGACCAGTACTTTGTGCAATATAAAAAGGCTACTCAATTTTTTATCCCACTATAAACTGTTTCCTGTCCAAAAATCATCTTGCATTAAGGATTCTACCTGACCAAATAAATAATGACTTAGATGATGAAAAGGTTTTAAGAATTAGTTTTTCTGTATTTTTTAATCTGTTTCTTTTGAATTGTAAAAGTTTCTAGTTACCATTCTGCTTAATGTAGCTAGACATTATTCGTTTCACATTGCTCCTTCAATTAAAATGTTTATTCCATTCAGTTCAAATTTAAATGTCAAATGGAGTCAAATTTAAATGTCTTGTGTTCACAGGGAAAAAGAAACCCAATGGGCACTACCTTAGATGGACTGGCAAACATAACTGTGCAAGGATGAATAGCAAAGTAAATAGCAGATTGCTTGATGGGAAGCAGAAATATGGTTCACATTGAATTCCAATCATTATATATAGCACAGATTAGGGGTGTATGAGATCAGAGCATAATACAATGTGGAAAGGCAAACATGGATGTAGTCAGCAGCTCTGTGGCCTGTTTTAGTTGCAGGAACATTCCAATGACATAGCTAGTATACTATATAGGTTTTATCCACTACATCCACCAGTAGTTGGCTATAGCACACGTGTGCGTTTATTTTGTAGATACGCAGAGTTTAAGGCCAGAAGGAACCATTAAATCATCTAGATTGATCTGGCCCAGGCCACTAAATTTCTCCCAGTTACCTCTATACTGAGCCCAATAATTTGGATTAGACAATGGCATTTCAGTCTTCAGGAGACAAAACTGCTGTGTGCCACAGGCAGAGAACAGGGGAGAGATCAAGATGCCACAAATACCTGAGGACCCTGGGCTAAGAGCCCAACAGAATCTTAGATTTGCAGGGCAATTTTTAAGCACTGCTGGATCTTCCCCGAGTCCTAACGTAGACTTGCAAGATCTGATTCAAGCTCAGTCCTGATTCCCTTTCATTGTATTTATCCCACCACCAGCCTGGCCATAGGTACAGATCACAACAGCAATGCCAAACCTGTTTGTAAAGCTTGAACTTTGTGTTCGGCCTCCTCCAGCTTCGAGGCTGTCGACATCTGTGTTTCTTGCAACTTTCTAAAAAAGAAAAAAGGAGAGATGAAAATGGAGCTGGTGATCTTGTATACCAGCTTAATTGTATTTTGCAATTTTGAGAGAGACAGAGATTAACCAGCTCAACTGTAATGAGGCAAATGACACCACCATGTATACTACAAGATACCACAATGGGAACCATAAGCCATATCTCACTGGAATGCTGTACATATTTTGGAGTCCCAGTTATTAAAATTTTAACAGTGTAGCTACTTTAAAATGTAAGCCATGAACATAATTCAAGAGTTGACTGCTATCTAAATGATATCTTTAGTGGAAGGTTTTCCGTAGCATAATTTGTTTTGGAAATGTCACACTTATTAAGAAAATTGTCACCACGCACCCACTGTCGAACAAAGTTAGTACAAGAAGAATGATACATTTCCATTTTTCTGTCATAATGAAGGAATTTGTTGCTATAAATGATATCCTCAATAGATCTGACAGCTGTTTCATCATAATTGCAATGGATTCTAAATGCAACAACAGTATTAACTACCCTCTAAAAAAAACTATGCACACTTCAAAACAAATATTACATTGTTATTTCCTATATAACACGATCAGACCTTTCAAAATGCTCACATTTCTTATGTCCATAAGCAACGTTACCTTGTTTGTGTCAGTTACAGCACACGCTTTCATGTCACTTGCCCATACAGTCACCAGACTCTTCGCTAAAGGCCAGACTTATAAAGCCTATACTAGGCATAGAGTTGCTGTGACATGCTTCTGGAGACTTTTATCTATTCTGCAGATTTTAAAATAGTGATGATAGAGCGTAAAGCGCCCAGCATCCTAAACATCTCCCTGGGGAACATGTTTAAAAAAATCCTATTCAGACAAAATCAACCAAAACTTTCTAACTGTCACAGATCTTGAGTATTATTTTGTATGTTTACATATTCTCTGACACAGTAATTTTAAACCAGACAATACATTTTCTTTTCTATCAAACTTGTTAACAAGTATCTCTGGCAAGAAACTCAGGTCAAAGTTTGTTTTTTTCCCTCCATATTAAACTATATAATTTTAGGTTGTGTTTTGTAGTCAAAAAGCACCTCTTTAACACACACACTTCCTGTAATTTACCTTCCACTGAACTGTCATTACATACATACATAAAAATAAAATATATGTATGTATGTATGAATGTATGTAAACAAACTGGATTTGATAGAAACAAGAAACGTTGATTCTATTATACAACAAAAAGTAACTATAAAATGCTGATTTTAAAAAGTATCTCCCAGTTCACATGTAGCTTCATCCCGCTCCTACCTTAATCTAAATGATCAATCCAACCACCCACACAAACAGCCTAGGAAAATGGTAAGCCTTGAAGTATGTACTGAAGGTTTGCAGACCCAGGCACTGTTGGACTAAGGGAGGAGTACCTGAGTTGAGGGTTCATTACTGTAAAACAACCTGTTAGCACTCCCCTTCTATAATGTACAGTCTAACTTCCCTGACAGCTGATCTAAATTATAGAAAAGGTTTTTAGCATTCCATTTTGCTAGCTTTGGAAAAATCAGAAATGTTTCCAAGTTTGCTTTAAAAAAAATCAATAATTAAGTGAGAAATTAATTACATATTATTTTGACATATAGGAGCATGCAAACTCTTTTCAAAATTAAGTTCTGAGTGAGAGCCACAGAGCTCTGACTCACTGCCAGATTCCTGTTACCATGCAAGTAGGTAACCATATTGTTGGGTACAATATTTCCTCTTAAAATGTTCTGTGTTGAACTGATGTACAATTGTACTGTGACACAAAAGACTGACTGAATTACACTGTCAGCTAATGGAGAAAGATTGGCGTCACAAAGGACAATCCAACTAATGAAGAATAAAAGTAGGTTTGCACTCTTTTGAAAGTAACACCCCAAATACATCAGAGGAGTGAATCATAGAATATCAGGGTTGGAAGGGACCTCAGGAGGTCATGTAGTCTGACCCCCTGCTCAAAGCAGGACCGACTAAATCATCCCAGCTAGAGCTTTGTCAAGCCTGACCTTAAAAACTCTAAGGAAGGAGATTCCACCATCTCCCTAGGTAACGCATTCCACTGCTGGCGAGCCATTCGGTCCCTAGTCTGTAGAGGTGCATGGGATTCTTCTGTCCTAAGTGCAGGACTCTGCAAATGTCCTTGTTGAACCTCATCAGATTTCTTTTGGCCCAATCCTCCAATTTGTCTAGGTCCCTCTGTATCCTATCCCTACCCTCCAGTGTATCTACCACTCCTCCCAGTTTAGTGTCATCTGCAAACTTGCTGAGAGTGCAATCCACACCATCTTCCCGATCATTAATGAAGACATTGAACAAGAATATGTCCTTGTTTCACTTATACACTTGCACAATTGTCTTTCTGTGTAAAGTTGAGCATCAAATGATTCTGTCTCAAACACATAAATCACTAGAATGATTCAATGTATGAGCTGTCTCAATGAACTGAAGGAAGGACCCTGTTTGGGAAGATTAAGCAGAAAATGATGATTTCCTTCCCTCCATACAACACCTACACACACAAACACTCACCTCTCCTTCTCTGCAAAGTCATTTTGTAATTTTTGTTCTTTTTCAAGGGCTATATTCTCTGCTTGGTTCTTCAGGGTCTGTTCATATTCTCTGATTTTCTCTTTAAGCGCTTTTATTGTAACCTCTACAAAAAAACAATGAGGCAAAGAATGAGTTTACACAGCTCCATGTGGCTACAAGAATACAAGGCTCTCTTTACCCTGTAGGCTCAGTGTGTTTTAAAATTTAGCTCTTCAACTCTGACACAAAATCAATGGATACGAGTCCCTTTAGAGACCTTTTACTCCCTAAATGTTAAATTGAACTTTAAACGTTTAGGTTGAGAAGGATCAATGGATTTTGCTGGGAAGCAGAGCTACGGTTTCTATAACATGACTGAAAAAAAATCAATTGTAAAATATAATATCACCTTATTAACTAGTCTCAAATTAGCTCTCTGCTGAGTGGAGATAAATAAAGTCCCACAGTGGGTTTAAGTATGAATTTACACAAATAGTTCATTCATATTACTGTGCTCATGTAAAAAGAAGCAATTTTAATATGGCTCTTGTACAGATTCAGTCTTTCATTAATTGAACACACACCAGCTTCACAACTTATGAAAAATATGGCAGTTAGGATTTAACTGCTGTGTTAACACATATATCAAATTTAATAGACAAACTGGAATCCTTAATATTTTTGTTACAGTAACTGACATTGTCACTGAGACTCTCACTCCACCCACATAGAAGGGCAGAATTCTTTATGCCTTAAGGCTTACAATAGGAAAGCAAGACACGGACCAAGACTGGTGTGCTTTGCAACAAAAAGGGAGTCTGGAAAGGAACCATATTTAGACAAGACTCATAAGCTGGCAATACTTTGATGCTGCCAAGGAGAGATGTAGCAGTTCAAGAAGTGATATTATTAGCAATATTGGTGAAAGGAGAAAAATACTACCAGGTGCAAAAAAACTGTCCATAAACAAATTGGAAAGACAAATGCCACTATAAAAATTAAAGCCTTCAGGTTGAAATTGGATCTAACTTATACCATGTAAAATTAGGTTAATGGAATTTTATTATAAGACCAGAATAAGTGAGATTAGAATCTTGGTGTAGGGAGCACAGAGGGAAAAGTCAGAGCCATTGTGACCAACTAATAGAGAAGAATTGAAATAACAAATGCACATAACCAACCACTGGCTTTTGACTAAATATGACAGTCTAAAATTTTTTAGACATTTAAAAAAAATCATCTGAGGCTCATTAAATCATGTCATTGCCTGGTGTCCCTTTTTACCATATTGATCAATTGTATTCTTGAAAATCCAAGGGAAAATTCTTCCTTCAGACCTGCAAAGTAGATCTGAACATTGATATTTTCTTGGATGTGCAGAGTTGGTATTTGCCATTTGGACAGGAGAGAATTTTACCCTAAATATTTTCATCACTAAAATGTAAGAAAACAAAATGAACTAAGTAATATAGAGAACTTAATTCAGCACTGGAACGAGTAAGTGCAATTCCACTAAGGACCATGAGAGCTGTCCCTGCTTGCACCCTCAGACCCTGACTCATTCAAAGTTACATAGATATGAAGTACCCCCAGTAAAGGGTCATGATTTAGGCTCAAACCCCGTTCACAGCTATGCTCACTTGAGTAGTTCCAGTGAAGTCAATGGAATTACTCCACTCCAGGAAGCAAGCACCTTATTTGTAATCTGTGCTGGCTAAAGCTCAACAAGCAATTACAGAAATACCACTTCTGGGGGATGGCACTTACAGGAACAAGAAAGTTTTGAGAGGGAGTTCTCCAGGTTAAGGAGGAGAGTTTACATTATCCTTGGGTGAGTTTCTCAGTTTGTTTTTGTCTGCTTGCTTGCCATGTGCTTGGTAGATTGACAAATATAGTGTGGTCTGTTTTGGGGGCTGTGTGCTGAGCCAAGCAGCCTGCTACACTAGGCTGACAGCTTACTAATGAGCCTCAAGCATGCTATCCTCTGAACCCTAACCCCTTTAAAATCCCTTGACAAGGAGGCAGGGCTAACTCAGGGCTAACCCCCCCCCCCCTCAAAAAAAAAAAAACCCTCCAAACTAAACAAAAACAAAACACACAAACAAAAAAGCCCTACAAGAGTAAAAATAATGCAGGCAGAAATCCAAGAGCAGATTAGGGGCTATCTACTTTATCACACTGAATGTAACATGTTCAATTATCTGCCTTGTGGGCAGGTGGCATGTGTGTGCATGCAGTGCAAGCAGCTCTTGGCCCCCACAGACACAATACAGGCACTGGAGGCCAGAGTGGCTGAACTGAAAGAGCTAAGGAAACAGAGGAACATAGACAAGACTTTTAGGCACAGAACAGAGTGGTCCCAACCCCAATCTGACAGCCTCTGTACTGTTAAAGAGGATGAAAATCTCAGGTAAGGAGCGCATAAGGCTGGAGCAGAAGGAAACAATCCTATTGTTGAGACCCTCCTTCCAGATTATGTAATGGGATCCTCTCACACTGAGGCTATCCCTCCAGGACAGGGAACAGTTATTAGAAAGAGACAGGTAATAGTGATGGGGATTTGATTATCAGAAGAGAAGGTTACTCACCTTGTGCAATAACTGAGGTTCTTCGAGATGGTTGTCCCTGTGGGTGCTCCACTTTACGTGTCTTGACGCACTGCGCTTGTAGTTGGAGATTTGTGATAGCAGTGCCTGGTTGGGCCGCGCATGCGCTGTTGCAATCTTGCGCCGTTCTGAGCGGTGACAGTGGTGCACAACCAACCATTCCTCAATTCCTTCTCTACCTCAGAGAATCGATTTTAAACTCCAAAGTAGAGGGGGTGATGCATGGAGTGAAAATTATGGTAATTTTCTGGTAATATGGTAATAATTATGGTAATTTTCGCTCCATGCATTTGAAGAAGTGGGTTTTTTACCCACGAAAGCTTATGCCCAAATAAATCTGTTAGTCTTCAAGGTGCCACCAGATTCCTAGTTGTTTTTGTGGATAAAGACTAACATGGCTACCCCTCTGATACTAACGAACCCTAATCTATCTAACAAGAAAGAGTGGGTGCCGCTGATCGGTCTGACTCAGTCTAAAGGTGGTAGAGAAGGAACTGAGGGATGGCTGCGCAATGCTATGTAACAGATTGGAATGGTGCAAGAAAGCAACAGCTATGCGCAGCCATTAGGGGAAATCAACCTAGTTAGCATATGTGACTCCATTTTGGGTTTCCTCTCGGCCATTAACTAGAAGCGAGCACATCACGTACCAAGGAAGGAAGGATCCTTCAAGGTGGACTGCTGGACAGTTTCAAGATAAGGGAAACAAACCTGGAGACAGGAACCAGCTGACATGCCTGAAATAGTTGCCACTTCAGCTTTTTTGCATGGGGAAGGTGGCTGCAGGGGATTGGTAATAGATAAGGAGAAGGCCTGTTTATTGGTTTAGGCCCCCCGAGGCACACAGGCAGGATGTTTTGCCAACAGTATATAATCTTGGTGTAACCTGTAATCGGGGTCCTGTTCTGCTTAACAGAGCGGTACCACGCTCGAGCGTAATAAACCTACAAACTTTGAGATACGCTGCAGTTTGTCTTTATTTGGTTGCATCAGCCTAGAAACGAACTGTACGTGTCCTAACTGGAATAATTCGTAACACAGCCCAACCGGTCACTGCTACCACAAATCTCCAATTACAAGCATAGGGCATCAAGACACCAAAAGTGGAGCACCCACAGGGACACTCCTCAAAGAAGAAATATAGATAGCTGGGTTTGTGATGGCCAGAAGAACCTCATACTAAATTGCCTGTCAGGTGCAAAGGCTGTGGATCTCACGAGACATCTAGACAGATGTATGTGCAGTGCTGGGTAGTAGCTAATGGTTGTGGTTTATGTAGGTATCAGTGACACAAGGAAAGACAGGCGAGAGATCCCAGAGGCCAAATTTAGGCTGCTAGGCAAGGGATTAAAGTCCAGGACCTCTGAAGTGCTTTCAGTTCCATGTGCAGGGCCAGAAAGAGAGGTAGAACTGCAAGGTCTCAATTCACGGATGAGATGACAGTGTAAGGAGGAGGGTTGTTGGATTATTACAATCTGGGGAACCTTTTGGGAAAGGAGGATCCTATATAGGAAGGACAGGCTCCATGTAAACCAAAATCAGTGAATCAGTCTGGTTCACTGGAGATTTTCAAAAGGAGACTGGACAGCCATCTGTCTTGGATGGTTTAGACACAACAAATCATGCATCTTGGCAGGGGGTTAGACTGGATGACCCTTGCAGTCCCTTCTAACCCTAAGGTTCTATGATTCTAAGTAAAATTAAAAAGTTCTAGAGGATTTTTTAAAACAAAGGGCTGGGGAAAAGCTGACAGATATGGAGAAGCACATGGTTCGGGCAGAGACATCCCTTAGGGATGAATTTATTAATGGGAGAACTCTATATCCTAGTAAACAGGATACAAAAGAAGTTGGTAAGTACAGGTAGGTGCTAGTGAGGAACAGTCAAACACAAAAGAGTCCCATTTAAATACAACACCTAAAGGCAAGCAACTGAATATTAACAAAATGTACAAGTGCTTTTTATAAGATGGGTGTACCAGAGTGCCTGGTATTAATCAAGGATAATGATATAATAGGCATTGTGGGAACTTGGTGGCATGAGGATAATCAATGGGACAAAATAATCCCATGGTACAAAATATATAGGAATGACAGAGAAGGTCATGCTGGTCGGGGAGTGGCACTATATGTGAAAGAAAGCATAGAGTCAAATAAAAGTGAAAACTTTAAATGAATCAAACTGTACCATAAAATCTTTATTGATAGAAATTCCGTGCTTGAACAATAAGAGTATAGCAGTAGGACTATACTACCAACCACCTGACCAGAATGGTGACACCAACTGTGAAATGCTCAGGGAGATGAGAGGTTGAAAAAGCAAATGCAGCAATAATAATGGAGGATTTCAAGTATCCTCAAATTGATTGGGTATGTGTCTCCTCAGGGAGGGATGCAGAGAGAAAATTCTAGACACCACTGATGCGGCCTGTAGAACCCACAAAAGGGAGAGGAAATTCCTGATTTAGTCCTAAATGGATCACAGGATCCCAGTCTAAGAGGTAAATAGAGATGAGACGCTCCGTAATAGCAACCACAATGTAATTAAATATAACATCCTTGTAAGGGGCAAAATTCCAAAAGAAACCCATCACAGCAGCACTTCACCTCAAAAAGGGGAAGTACATAAAAATGAGGAAGCTAGTTAAACAGAAATTAAGGAATAGTCACAAGGTGAAATGCCTGCCAACTGCATGGAGACTGAAAACAGCAAAATAGAGGCTCAAACTAAATGCATATCTCAAATGCCACAATGGCTAACCAATAGAGTAAAAGAGGCAGTTAGAGGCAAAAAGACATCCTTTAAAAATTGGAATTCTAATCCTAATGAGGAATATAGAAAGAAGCAATCAAGTGTAAAAGTACAGGAAGGCAGGCCGAGAAAGAATCTGAAGATCAACTAAGCTAAGGACACAAAAACTAACAGCAAAAAATGTTTAAGTACATCAGAAAAAGGAACCCTACCGAACAGTCAGTGGGACCACCTGATAACTGACGTGCTAAAGGAGCAATCAAGGAAGACAAAGCCATTGTGGAGAAGCTAAATGAATTCTTTGCATCCGACTTCACTGCAGAGGATGTGGGGGAGATCCCCATACCCGAGTCATTCTTTTTAGGTGACAAAACTGAGGAACTGTCCCAGACAGAAGTGACAACAGAGGTGGTTTTGGAACAAATTGATATATGAAACAGTAATAAGGCACCAGGACTAGATAGTATTCACCCAAGAATCCTGAATAAGCCTCTATACCAGATGACTGGAAGATAGCTAATGTAATGCCTATTTTTAAAAAAGGATCCAGAGAAGATCCTGCCCATTACAGGCTAGTAGGTACCAGGTAAATTTGTTGAAACTATAATAAAGAATAAATGTATCAGATAATAGATAAATATATGATATGTTGGGAAGAGTCAACAAGCATGTGAACAAGGGTGATCCATTCAATATAGTGTTGTTGGACTTTCAGAAAGCCTTTGACAAGGTCCCACACCAAAGGCTCTCAAGCAAAGTGGGCAGTCATGGGATAAGAGAGAAGATCCTCTAATGGATCACTAACTGATTAAAAGATAGGAAACAAAGGCAGGTAGGAATAAACAGTCAGTTTTCACAAGAGAGAGAGTTCCCCAAGGATCTGTATTGGGACCTGTGCTGTTCAACATATTCATAAATGAACTTTAAAAGGGGGTGAACAGTGAGGTGACAAAACTGGCACACTTTACAAAATTACTCAAATTAGTTAAGTACAAAGCTGATTGCGAACAGTTACAAATGGCTCTCACTAAACTAAGGGACTGGATGACAAAATGGTAGATGAAATTCAGTGTTGATATATGCAAGTAATGCATATTGGAAAACATAATTCCAACTATACATACAAAAGAATGGGGTCTAAATTAGCTGTTACCACTTAAGAAAAATCTTGGAGTCATTGTGGATAGTTCTCTGAAAACATCCACTCAATGTGCAGCAGCAGTCAAAAAAGTTAACAGAATGTTAGAAACCATTACGAAAGGGATAAATAAGATGACAGAAAATACCATAATGCCACTATATAAGTCCAACAATACTGTGTGCAGTTCTGGTCACCCCATCTCAAAAACAGATCACAGAATCATAGAAGATTAGGGTTGGAAGAGACCTCAGGAGGTCATCTAGTCCAACCCCCTGCTCAAAGCAGGACCAACCCCAACTAAATCATCCCAGCCAGGGCTTTGTCAAGCCAGGCCTTAAAGACCTCTAAGGATGGAGATTCCACCACCTCCCTAGGTAACCCATATTAGAGTTGGACTAAGGGGGGACACGAGAGAGGTCTATAAAATCATGAATGGTATGGAGAATGTGAATAGGGAAGTGTTATTTACCCCTTCACATAACACAAGAACTAGAGGTCACCAGATGAAATTAATAGGCAGCACATTTAAAACAAAGAAAAGGCAGTACCATTTCATACAATGCACAGTTAACCTGTGGAACTCATTGCAATGGGATTTTGTGAAGGCCAAAAGTATAAATGGCTTCAAAAAAGATCCATCAATGGCTATTATAGCCAAGAAGGTCAGGGATGCAATCCCATGCTCCAAGTATCCCTAAACCTCCAACTGACAGAAACCATCAGGCACAGACCACTGTCAGAGACAGGATACTGGGCTAGACAGACCAGTACGGCCATTCTTATGTTTTTAACTTCATTTAAGGCCACGTACAACCCATCTATGGAAAGAAATCAAAACACCCTTAACTACTAACAGTACTCTGTAGGTCATTCCTAACACATTCAAACCATTTCAATTTAAATACAGCATAGAACTGCAATTCCAGAATGAAAACACTGATCAAAGATGATTTGGTACATGAATGAAATAAATGTATATGGCATAAAAAAGCCACACATAATAAATGCAAATTTTGTAGTTGCATTAGAGTGCCCGGACCTGCAAGGTGCTGACTTCCCTCAGCTCCCATTGGTTTCAAGATCACAAGCTCTTCATGACATGTCCTTCTACATGTTTGCATAACATTTAGCATAATGGGCCTTGATCCTGACTGAAGTACTTAAGTGCTACGCCTGTCAAAATAAATAAATCAATAAAAAGCAAACAACCGGAGTTGATGGTTCTTTACACTTTCCAAGATCAGGTCCCAAGCTCCTAAACAAAGGTGGTCAAAGTGCATGACCAATAGAGTGCCACAAAGTGAACTGTGGTTGTGTCTCTACTTTTATCTAAGTAGCGCAACTGCCAAGGGTAGAGCTCCCAGTACGCAATGTTACATCTATTGCAGTCCAGTCTGAAGACCTGGATGCTGAGGGACCTGCAGTCTCAATGGACCACTCCCTTCATATTAAAGAGAGAGGTGGCTGTAACATGCATCTTTTGCTGCAATTTAGGTTCAGCATATTGTGCCCCAGTAAACTGTCAATGAGACTTCTAGCTGGGCAATGTTTGGATCCCCAAGTCTTACATGATAAACAAAGCCTACTCTCCCATGTGGTAGAACTATTTGCTGCTAGTGTAACTCAGAATTGGATATTTACAAGGAAACCACAAGTTGTGTGTAAAGGGAAATAGGTTTTTACAGTGAGCATATTTTGTTTCCTGGTGCAGGAAGCATGTTTTCTGAAAGGCAAGAAAGCTTGGGTATTTTCAGAGACAGCAGGTTTTTGCACCTTAGATAATGGTCTTTTCATGTACCGTGGTCACCTTAAAAAACTTGCCAACTGCCTTAAAAAATGAAACATTACCTTGGTATTTGCACTATTATCTGGGCATTCCCTGTAGTAATTATTTAGAATTCTGCAAGTACCGAGGTAACTTTACTAATTTATCTGAGGAAAAATTGAGCAGAGTAGATGTACTTTTTAAAAAAACAAAACAAAGTTCTTAATATATAGTGGATTAAAAAAAATACTTGTTTGGCCTTAGACCAGTCTTACTATAATCTCAGTATTTAATGACTGCTATGTAACTTCAGTATGGTAGCTGGATCACTACTAGGTAGTGCTGAAGGCAACAACAGAATGCTTAAAAGAAGAATGTCCAGCTATCACATGATACTATAGGAAAAGTTCTAAAGGAAATCCTATTGGTCCAGTCAAAGTAAAATAGTCATATGCAGACATGCAAATTTCGAAGTGGCTATAAGCATGCAATAGTCTTCCTTTATTAAATACCAATATATCTGCGCACACTAATTTTATGAAATACAATTAGGGCTAATCCTAATATTCTTCAAACAGTCAGAATTACAATCTGAGAGAAAGAGTGCAATTTTTTCCACCTACCTTGATTTTTCACTTCAGCAAATTCCTTGTTGTATTCCTCTAGAGTTTCCCTAAGTTTCTGGTTCTCTGTTTCAATATCATGCATGCGCTGGACTTTCAGCTGAAGCTGCTGTCCTAGATCCAGAGCTGGAACTGGATCTAAATAATAAAAAGACAACAGCAACACCGCTATAGCTTTAGTAGCTCAGAATCCTGAAATTCTTTGTGGAGGAATTCTCCTTCTTCCTTAGTTAAAATGACATTCTAAAGGTCAAATGCAGTGTTGTTGTAGTAAAGCCTAGGTCTTATTTACTTTCCTCTACTTTCCCACGTGTTTTTTTAAAATGATATACAATTCTTTATATTTAGGCTCTCCCTTATTTTCTAAATGATGAATAGTATCTTTTTAAAGTGACTGAAAGTATTTTGACAGCATCTTTAAAATGACACAGACTAACGAGGCATGAAAAGTCTCGAGATCCAATCTATTTTTATGAAAAAGACATTAATGTACAAGATGTTTTGTTGTTCTTTTGTTGAGTAAAAGCAACAAAAATTATATTAATTACTGATTAATGAAGTCCTTTAAATACCTCCCCTTTCAAAGAACCATACTTTTGAACAAGCTTGTACCATTACCATAAGGCCCTCAGCCATAAGGCACAAACAAGTACAGCTGTGGGGATCTGTGAAAGATCTGTTATTTGATATCAGAATCTCTTGCGTGAATATGATTACAAACCTTTGGCTCATTTTCTATCATAGTGACATTTACTAGTAAACAACTGATGCGAATGCTAATAAAATTTAATTCTGCTAACTGGAGATTTTATGGTACTTATTCTCTATTTTTCTTACCCAATAAATTAAATACAAATTTGAAACACTTTATATGTTCTCCTATTGTCAATTCTATCAATTTCTATTCAGCTAAAAACACTGTTACAATACACCTGCCATGTATGGATAGAGAATTTATTCTGGGATCTCAGCTTCCCAGTCAGTGTTGGAAAATGCTGGAGTCCAATGGACTTATAAAAAATTATTGAATGCATTTCTCTTATGGGCGCCAGCATAACTTGTGAAATGGCTGCAAAGATTTAGTCTCCTGTTGAGGAATGCTAAACACTAAACTCAGTGGATCAACAACAGTATATATTATGGAGTTCACTTAATTTTCAAACACCGTAGTCATTAATTTTTCAGACCACCCTCAGTCTCTGGAAACATAATAAGTCTATTGTACCTCTGTTAACACATTAAGCATGAGCCTGTGTGTTTTTCAATATGCTAGCGTTGTTTCACAGTTTATAAAAGAACAGTGCTGGGTTATGTTGAACTCAGAGACATCGTAAGTAGTATACTGCATTTTGTTATTTAGTTTCTCAACAGCTTATGACATACCTTCTTCATAATATAAAATCTAGGCTGCTTGTCATCTATTCTCTGTACATACATTCATAGTTTATGACTACATAGATTTTTCATTTGGTTTTAGGCCAAATACTTTTCATTATTATTATCTCTATTAAAATATTTGTAATATATCAAATTTAAAATGTTATTGTGGCAGGTACAGGGGGTCTGGGTAAGGAATTATACATAAAGTTGAAGTTATAGCAGCACTGAGAAGTCCCTACAATATTTATACACAGTCCAGTTAAGGTGCAGGCTGTCACAACATGAACCTCCTCCCATGCAGCCAAAACAACCATTACCTAGAATGACCATTTTGTCACATTTCTTCAGCCCAGTGTTTCTCCAGCAAAGCCCGTCCAGCACTTTGGACTACTAATCATAAAGAAAGACTGGATGGTGTCAGCCTATTTGAAATTTAGGGCTATAATACAAACTTAAAAATATAGCAAGTGAGGACCTAAAACTATCTGTGATACTTCTATAAAATACTATTAACATTTGTGCTAACAGGCCTAAAATACCATGGCCAATACAAACTGTATTTATAAGAACCAGTGTTCGTACACTGCCTTCTATCCCCATGATTTTTAAAAACATTTTTAGTACATTCATTTTAAAAACCCAGGATACGCACAAGACGCTGTAACAATGCGGAGGCCGGTGGCACCTTACAGACTAACAGATTTATTTGGGCGTAAGCTTTCATTTTCACTCCATGCATCTGAAGAAGTGGGTATTTACCCACGAAAGCTTACACCCAAATAAATCTGTAAGTCTTTAAGGTGCCACCGGACTGCTCGTTGTTTTTGTGGATACAGACTAACACGGCTACCCCTCTGATAGTTGGCACCATACAAGACGCTGTCTGCTCCAAATAAACAATGCTTTTCTAGACTGAAATTAGGAAGGAATTCAAAGACGTATAAAAATAACACATGCATTATAAAGTGAATAATGACTAACCCTTTAGTCAAATTTTCAATCCCTGTAAAGCATTATACTGTAAATAAAAATTCATGCAACCTCATAATTATTCATCAGGACATGTATATTTAATTTAGCTCTATTAAAGGTTAATGCTAAAGTAGCAAACAGTCACAGAAGGACCAAAATGTAAAAACCGTCTCCCATGCATTAACTTTCAAACTTTACTATAGCTTAGTTGACCAACTAAAAGCCTGCAGCCTTAGAATATTGTTTTGGGATTCGTAAAAGGCATTGCCGAAGTACCTCTTAGGCTTAATTTATAAATGAAACTAATTACTGCATGACAACATAATGACTATGACTTGCTTTGGCTAGAGAGTCAAACAATTAATTTATGTATCTCAAACCCCAACATGCATTTTAAACTTTAGAAATCACAGCTTTTTGGTCTTCTTAATTATCTCCAACACCATTTAAACTTCACACAGGTATTACTGTTTTCAATGTAAGCACCGCAATCTGAAATCTTTGATGTTATATTTTCCTTCTTGATTGGTGTGAGGGGTTTTTTTTGGGGGGGAAAAACAACCAGAACTTGCACATATAAAAGGCTGTCTTTTTATGTTACACAGATTTCATATAATTTAACAGGAGGTCATTGACATTTGAAGGAACTGAAATGAAATGGTGATAGCGTACAGAAAGCAGCAAAGACAAGGTTCCAAATAAGGGAGTGCTTTTTCTCTAACCCCCAGTACAGCAAAACCTTGCTAATCGACACTAGTAACTGAAAGACTCACTGTAAATGACAATTTTGCAAGCTAGAGATTAAGTCCCAAATCAAGAGTCTGGTGCCCCGCCTGGACACAGAGCTGACAAGAAGGCGGGGAAAGAGAGGAAATGCTAAAATTGTTAGTATACAAAAATGCCTACAAATCATTACCATCTGGCATTAGTTAGGTGAAAGGTGAGTTGAGATACCTGCTTTTATGCTAAACCTTTCATTTTATTATGACCTCATCTTCCAACTCCCCATACCCGTTTTTTTCTGTCTAATCCACCTGTTGCATCCTAACACCAAGACAGAAACTCATCTTTATTTCTATTTGTTTAGTGACTAGCATAATGAGGCCCTGATCCTTGACTGAGCGTCAGACATAGTACCATAATAGAAATACTAAATAATAGTCAAAACTATTCTATGCCACTCAAGCCCTGAGGATGGATTAGTGTCCACAGAACTCACCCTTCCCCTAACCTTTCCATGTGCTGCCTTCTCAGTGCTGCTTCACAAGAAGCTCACTCTGAGCAGGTCTCCCAGGCCACACACATGGCAGACCTGTGTGAATGCGCAGGTGTGCAGCTACAAATGAGGCTCTGGTCAAGAAGGAGGGGGCTGGATATGCCTCTGAATGAACAAAGACATGCAAAAAGCAACTGTGTTAACTTTGGACAAATGCAGTGTCGTTTTCCTGGCAGATAATACTTCACAGTGTACTAGTTAATGCACACTCTGTTTTTGTTTTTTTTTTAAAAACAAAATACACTAGTCAAATTAATATAAGGCCTTACTAAGAGGATCTGCTGTTAAACCACTTCTGAGAGGGGAAAGAACACCAATTTTTTGGTGGAGTTTATAAATGTGTGGACGAGCCAGGTTCTATTGTGCATATTTTAAGAGCAGGGTTTTAAAGTAAAAGAAGGGTGGATCTCAATGAAACAATGCACTGCATTACCAGCCTGATGTAACATTTCAGCAATAGCCATAACATTTTAACGCTTAGACCAAATGTAAACTCTGCCATAGTACCACAAAGTAAAACTGGACTATCACTGAACAGATGAATTTCCAAACTGAGTTTTCTTCAAAAACAATTCTCCATGTATTGTACAAGCTGGAAAAAAAACACAGATCTTAATAATTCAATATAACTGTTTACACAAAGAGCACTGTGGGTAATGTTGCCCTCCCCTGTCATTAGGCAGAAGATGAATGCACCCCCTTGTGAGTGCTGTTCATGCAATGACATCACGCTCCTGCATGCGTTACTTTTCGCCAGTGCACTCTAGGCTAATGTAATCATACGATTATATAATTAACCCAGCTGTCTCATTAAGAAAATCAACTGGAATTCAGGGCATAATTAGTCATACAGCAATTAGCATGCTGATGAGCAACTGATGAAAAGCTGTCTAGATATTGAATATGCTGGGACCACCTTATTTATTTAAAAAGGAAAAGAAAAAAGCACCTCAGCAGAAAAAAAAATAAGATCAATTTTAAGAAGTTAATCTTTAAAAATATTTCTGATAGTACCTGTTTGAAAAGATAGAGAAGTGAAAAAAATAGTGAAATTATTTCTAAATCATGTGAACAGACTTCAGAAGCAAAAATCAATTGTGCCCTATATTATGTAGTTCGTCCCTATTTTAAAAAAAATAATTATTCCATCTGCAAACTAATACAAGACAAAGAGACTAATACAAAGCCAGACTGGAAAGGTAAATCCTATCAACTAAGAGGGAAAAACTGTCACTGTTTAAATTTACAATTCACACAGTATTGACCAACCCTTAACTATCCCTGATACTATTAAAAAAAATTGAGGACATTTGCATGGCTTGAGGTTTCTTTATAGAAACTGCTTTACCAAGCCTTGAATTAAATGTGAGAAGTGATGATTACTTGATTGCTCAGCAAACATAGTGTCCTAGCCATTTCTGGTATACAGCCACATTGTTTCTTATATTTAAAAGATTTTGTAGGTGGCTAATTGGTGTTATGGAAAATGGGAACTCCTAACCACAGAAGG